TTTAAGTTAAAGTTAATTTCTGTCATATCACTTTAGATTCTTCCTAGAGGATATTGTCAACATGAGATATCTAAATAAATCAGTTCCAGGCCAAATCAATTTATTTTGTCACTATGACCTATCACTTCCATACCATACTATTGAGTACCCAGTGTACCCATAAGAAGATTTCACTACCTAATTTTACATTTTTAAAAACTCTCTAAAGGTAAATATCACAAAACCAGCAATTAACAGCAATAAAAGCTCTCACCAAGTGCAGGCTCAGAATCTTTACACGTATTAAGCTGGTCTTCCAATGTCTGTGCATGAAACTTCTGTGGTCTATGAAACTTCTCTGGCTCCAGTGGTACTGTAAGAAATTCACATACAAGTGGATCCCTTTTCATACGTGATACCACATCACAAATTAAATCAGTTATTATGAAACATTTTTAAAAAATTATACATTATAAAACTTTTTAAAGCATTTGGGTTGCAAAAATTAAGTATTATTACAAAATATTACTGCAAATTGAAAGTACAATGATCAGAAATGAATTCCCAATGACCTGCTAAGATCTAGACATCACTTGTAATGCTGTACTTCAAAATTTTTTATTTCTTCCACTTTTTTTTTTTTTTTTCAGGGAGGTGTGGGGAGAGGCATTAAACCTTCTTACCAAAATCAGGAAGTTTTGCAGGTGTTTTCACTTTCTTTCCTAAGCAACTTTCTGTTTTAACTAAAAAAAAAAACAAACAAAAAACCAAAGAAGAAAACAAAAGAAAGAACCCGAAAGAAGTGGAAATAAAATTGTTAGTACAACTGAAAGAACAATTTTGTAAAATAACTGACTACTTTATAAAAAACTTTTTGAGCTTTTTTTGATATGGGAAAACTAAACTATGTTACCAATGACCCTGGTGTCATTAGCACCATGCTCCAGGATAAAAAACATTCACACCAAACAACAACAAAGTTATTTAACGTCAAGCAATTAAATGAAGTAGGCAGAGAGGAAGATCAATCAAGTTCAATATCTCTAAACATTTCAGGGCATCCAGGAATTTCAGGACATTTAGCAGCATACAGCTGCTAAATATTTCATCACTTAAATTTCCCTTACAGTCCAAACAAAAATTCTCAGACCAAGGACTATGGTAGGTCCAATGACTACGTCTGACTTGAACAACAACTTTCAATTCTAGGAGCAGTGAACTGTAGAAACCTGAAAATACATTTTGGTGCATCATGAAACCAAATTAGGAGAACAACTATGAATGTAGTTAGACCTTCATTCCTTCTGGAACTAAACCAGTTCATCAAGACCCAGAGAAGGTTTAAAGATTTATTAAACCTATTAAAAATGTCTTAATTAGCTGAAGCAAATTAACCCATTTTCAAAAACAAATATAAAGTATATACAGTATTTCTACATGCTTTAAGAAGCATAGGTTTTTAAATTATATTTTAAATTTCAAAGGTCTCTAATGCCTTGAATTCTTTAGGGTTTCTCAAAAATTTAATGTAGGTGATTTTTAGTATCCTAGTTATTACTTGTTAATCAACTTTGCATACCTCTTGCTCATGTTACTGATCAATTAGGTAGTTATATCATAAAAAAACACGAGACACGATTGTGTCTTAAAGCACAAGTCTTGAGAAAGACTTTTTCTTATTTGCTTCATAAACTACATTGGGGTGGGGAGAAAGATGGAAGTACAGAACACAGCAGGAAGCAAAAAATCTTGCACTTACACATGCCATGAAGTTTCAATGCTTCTTCAACCTGAGTTACCAAGTTATCAACCAACAAGGAAGAAAGACACTTAAGAGTCAAAAAACAACAATGCAAAGCTTTTGTTATATATTTAATAAGTTAGATTAATACCAACAGCATTGACTATCTCAGGTGAACAATTACATGAAAATGAAAAACTAAAAACATCCCTTTTTCTTCTGGAGATTGTCTATGATTTAAGTAACTCCTTTCTCCCCTTATTAACAGCCAAGTATTCTCATGTATTGTCCTTAGTAGACGTAAAGTTATAACATTTTCTGACAGGATTAATGTACAAAACCAAGTTCTACTTTATCACAGTAGAAAAGACATTAAATTAGCAAACTAGCTAAATATCTGAAATTGTATGTTTCAACACCACATGAAAAACTAGATTTCAAACCCCACAATCTATTGCTAAATAAATTGGTAAAATCTGACAAAATGTGCATTCAAAAACTGATAAACTGATCTTACCGTCTTGTGTTTTGCTCCAAGAAAGTGAGTCTGTAAGTTTAATGCAGAAGAACACCAGATTTTGCAAATCTAGATTAAAGAGAAGTATTTCTAGCATTGCACACAGACCAAGAGAAATAAAATACCACTGATACCAGAACAGATCTACTATCAAACTGTTGGTATAGGTTAAGTTCTATAAGAGTACTACTACTTCAAAGACAAACTAGAGTAGCCTCCTAAAACTGAATTTTATAAGGCTCCAAGACCACCAAAACACAGTGAATGAACCAGAATCCCCACATCATGTAAGAATTTCAGATGCTCCAGAACTCTGCAGCTATCTCATAGCACTTTCTGTGTGGGCATGTGTGGATAAGTGAAGACAGATCCAACACCTTCCTCACACACTCTAGAGGGCAAGCCACAGGCACACACAGCATAATTGTGACAAGCCAGGACACACCTGCCTGAGGTGAGCCAGCTCCCCTCAGTGCTGCATCCACACTAACACGCTTACTCTGATCAGTTTGGAGCCTGCCTTGCTCACTTTGGAAAACTTCCCTGTCACAGCTGTTTTATGCCTAGGCCAGCTCAGAATGTGAGCAGTCTAGGTTTAAATTCACATGTATGAACAGCAGCAGCCTAATTACCTTCTTCTCCTCAAAAAATCCCAGTATGCTTTAAAAAAACAGCAATAAACCTGACAACCAGAGAGATCAGGATTTTTTGTTCTGAAAAGGACCTACACTTAATCATGCACTTTTAAAAAGAATGTATTTATTTTGAAACATAATATTATTCATTTTAATAATAATTTTAATATAATAATTTAAATAAGAAATTCTTAACACACATCCAAGTCAAACATAACAAAGCCAACAAAATATGTTCAGCTCCAGTGCTATTTTTCAAGCTTGCTCAAGAGAAAAAAATAGTGTTCACACTTGGTTTAGTACAACTTCGTTCCACCAAAATTACTTTGCATTAGCTACAATTAGCTTACAAGTAACGTAAGTAATGTAATGTAATGTAAATAATACTTACATTGCAGTAAAAGGGGTTTACTTGCTTCTTTATTTCATTTTCAGGGTCCATATTGAGTCTTTAGATGATAAAAAAACTCTAGGAAAATTGCAGAAAGATTGCAAACTGTTGTTTTAGCTTCACAAAATTATTTATATTTTTGTTCCGCCTATATGAAGGCTGGGCACATTCCAGCTTTAATTTGTGCCTCGCCTTGAGTTATATTCAGCCTTTAAATTTCCAGGCTAATGATCCCATTTTCAAACTGAGAGCAAAACTACAGCATGGAAACAACCGTACTCCGAGAGCTTCCCTCGGGAAACATTAACGTCACCAGAAGATTACGCAGAACAAAAACTAGCGAAACAAAACCTAACCCGAACCATTTCAAGCTTCCCCCTTCTCTCCTGGGATAGGACTGCAGCCATGGGCTGGGACAGATGACAGACACATCGGGAAGAGCCAGCACGCAGTGCCCGAGGCGTGCCTGGGGAACAGGAGGCACACGGCGGGGCTTGGGAAAAGGACACGCTCCCACACGAATCGCGGAGGCGAAGGAAGGGGGGAAGGAAGTAAAGGAGGGGGGAGGGAAAGGAGCGAAGGAAGGGAAGCAGGGAGGCCCTGAAGCTCCAAGCCCCACGCCAAGAGCGGCATCACGCCGGAGAGCGCCCTTCCCGGCACTTCCAGCCCCGCCGAGGAGGGCACAGATACTGCTCCCGCCGGAGCCGGGAGACGGCCGGGCCGCCGCTGCGCACAACTCACCCCAGCGGGCCGGGCGCGTCAGCGCCCAGAGCCCGGAGGAGCTGAGGGCGCTCCCCGCCGCCGCACCGGAGCCTGCCACCGATCCGCTTGCGGGCGGGAACTGCGCCAGGCCGGGCGCGGAAGAGGCACGGAAGGGTGGCGGGATCCCGGTACCGCGGCCCTGAGCTCGGCGCCGTCGGGCGGGGACGGGGACGGGGCGGCCGCGGCACCCCCGGCCCTTCCCGCGGCGGCCGCTGGGGGCGCTGGCGCGCAGGCGCGTCGGGCCGGCGGGCGCTGTCGGAGGTAAAGCCCGAGCTGGGTCCGGGGCCGCCGCACCGGGGCGGGGATTCCCCGTCCCGCGGATTCCCCGTCCCGCTCCGCTCCGGGGCCCCGCGATCGGCATGCGGATGAGTACGCCGCGCCAGGGACGTGCGTCCCGGGAACTCCGCCCGCTCCCGGTGCAGGCGGGGCTCCCCACCCGCTTCCTGGTGGCCGCTGGGTGTTCGCACGCCGCTCCGCACAACACACACACACGCACACACACACATACACTCGGGCATCTCCCCGCGGCCGCCTTCCTGCAGCGCCGCCGCACCTGCAGGCCCGGGATCGACCGGGCCGGCTGTCCCCGCGGCACGGCGGTGTCTCCCGCGGGAGAGGCCGGCGCCGCGCCGCCCGTGCTGCGGCGGGCGGGAATCCAGCGCGGGGTTTGCGGGGAGCTGGAGGGAGCGGTGCCGGCGGCCTGCGGGCGGGGAGGTGAGGGAGGCGGGGAACGAGGGAACGAGGGAGGGAGCCGAGGGGCGCTTTGTTACGAGGAGCCAGCGGGGCCGCAGGGTGGGGTTGTCCCCGCCGCCGGCGCCCGTCCCCGCGGGCGCTGGGTGACAGCGGCCGCCCGCCCGCCGAGCTCCCCCCGCCGCCGCGGCTGATGCGCCCGCACCGCGCCGCAGCCTCCGCGCCCGCCCGGCGGGGAGCCGCCGCCTTTGTGGAGACGGGACCTGCTCTCTATTCTCCTTCGAGCAGAAGAGGAGCTAGCGAGGAGACTTAAAAAAACCCCACCAAGCTCGAGTTAATGTTTGAGAAGTTCGGGTGCGGGAGAGTCTGGTAGGATTACTACATTATGCCTATTTTTGATGGATTTCTGGCAGTCGTTCGGAATAACAACCTGCATCCATTACCTTGCTTGCGGGAAGCGCTTTGGATGTCCTCCATAGGTAGCGGGATGACCCGCTTAAAACCTATCTGTGTGTTTCTATAGTATAATATGATACGGATACGTATATATTTTAATATCTTTCCCTGTATAGCTATATAAAATCTGGCAAGAGAAATTTGGGTAAAGTACTGTGAATTTTACTAATAGATTATCTTGTTTGTTTGCTGGATGGTCCATGATAACATCATTTGTATTAAAGCGTGGGGGGAAGCACCCAAGGAGGTGGGATTTTTTAAAAATCTGATTAAAACACATTTTTATGAGTGTAGATCTCATTCATATTTGCAATGTGCTCTTAATTACCTAGTGATTTCAAGTCTCAAGGTAGGCAGGGTCAGGCCTGGAACACTGATAGAAGCTTGGTGAGGAAAACATAACATCTGAGGGAGAAGAACACTGTTTACTGCTGGTTCTGTCATTCAAATGAAATATAAACCTGTTGTGACTAGTTTGGGTCATTGCATTTCCATGCCTTTCTTTGGTCCTCAAGCACTGGATGAAAAGGACAGAATTATGATGGATATCCAGTGTTGTTAATTACTGGCTGATTAGGTTTAAGAGCTTCACCTGCAATTTACATTAGAGACATAAATTTTGTTTTTATCAATCCTGGAATATTTCTGGTAGTAATTCTGTTGGCGCTGGTCAGTGAACTTCATTTTCACCCCATAAGTGACCCCAGTTTGCTAATGAACTCTTTTCTTTAGGTTTGGTTAGTGTAACCTTTTTAACAATTGGGGTAAATCTTCCACCATAACTTTCTGTCTTCATTTTCTTATGGCTAAAAAAAACATTTCAAGGACTAAAAATGCTCACACGTGCCAACTTAAACCAAATTTCTTCCTTTTTCTTGGCTTCTTTGCAACTGATTGGAGCTTGGGTATCTATTTAGATGTGTGCAAGTAAAATAATGCACGTGTGTGTCATTTTTATGAACATATGTGCATTTCCTAACTTGTGTAAATTTTTTTCAAGCTATTCTTCCAGAAGATCACATCACATGCCTTATAGTCTTTAAAAGAAGAATGCTGCACAACATTTCACAGTAAAGACGAGGAGCTGAGAAATATTTCTGTTATCTTAAAACTGTAGAGGTTTGTATGAGAGGACAAATACTTAGAACACTGCTTTGTTTTAAGGCAAGTTTTGAATTGAGTCATGGCAGGGGAAGATATTTAGGATAAAGTGCTTTCTTACTGCATGTGTATTGGTGCCTAGGCACCTGTAAGAGTGAGAGAAGCTTTCTAGTCTTTGTTTCTTAAAATTTACTTTGCAGCTGTCCTCACGTGCCCACACAAATCAATCCGGTTTATGGGATGAGCTATACACAGTAAACTACTTTGATTTCAGCAGATTCCTACCTGCTAAATTAAATCTCAGACATATGTCCTAGAAGGACTGCTTAGCCTCAAAATGGAAATTCTGTGGGCTTGTGAGAGTCCTTTCTCATAATCTGCAGAGGAGCCAGTGGGCTGCAAGAAGGTGAATAATATGCATAAAGAAAAAAGAGGTGAATATAAATACATGGTGGTGTTTTGACGCAACTTCTCGGTATTCTAAATTCTCATGACATCTCAGAGTGCTTTCTTGTTCACCTAATTGCAAATGGGTTTTAATACATTGAAGAAAGTAGGCTAAACATGTTGAGCTTGAGAAGAGTCTTCCAAAACTCTTTTTCTTCTCTGTATTAAACTACCCACACCAGTTCTTGAGTTCCTTTATGCATCCTAGATCATAATCCTGACTTCTTCACAGAAAGGGCACAAGTACAATGTGTATGTTTAGGAAACAAATACGAGGAAAACAAATACTAGGAATGTGATTATTGTAAGGAAAGACTGATATATTCTTCTCAGAGTAGGACTTATGTTGCAATTCTTTAATATTTAGTATTTGAACTTATGACTGGGGATCTCAGATGCTACCACTGTAAAAAAATAATAGAAGTAAATTACAGTGTGGTATGAAAGTGATAATTAAATTTTCTTCATCCATGAAAGATGAGCTTTTATTCTAGTACATCACTTGGTAATATATCAGAAGTCATATTTATAAATGTTTATAGAGATTTATTTTTGATGATTATGATGTCAGATATTTACTGACATCAGCTGATCTCAGCCAGTCTGTGGAGCTAGATATTGAGCACCTGGAATACAGAAGTCCTAGAAACATTGTTTAACTTTTTGAATGTAGTCTCCAAAGTTCTGAAAATCCAGTTTTTCTAAATAAAGGGATCTTCTAAATATAAACATGTAACGATTTTTGTCTGAGATTCTCTCACCTTTTCAAAACTAGAAGTAAGATTTACATGCATCAGTGGAAGGTAGAATCAGTCCTTTCTAACCACATGGATTGATCCCTGTTTTTCAGGGTCATAAGCTATAGGGCCGTGCAACTTAGTGGTGGGACTGCATTTTCACTCCATTCCTTGGTGGAATTGAGGCTAAGATAGAGAACCAATATTTAGTCCCAAGAATTTCATTTCAGCAGCTGTCTAAAGCAACTTAATGGTTTGGAATGGTGCAGTAAGTATGTAAGTAAAGTAGATTAATAGATAGAGGCTGATTCCATTATAGGTCTCTTTTATTTTACTTTTTCTCAGAGTGGTTTCATGGAGAGAACTTGCCATTTTTCAGTATCTTTTCTAGGATGTCAGTTTCCTGACTATGTTTTGTTGGGTTTTTTTTCCTAATTTGTATTTTATTTAAGGAGCTACTGAAGCAGATTCACTCCTATTAGACCTAGACATTATAATGACTGGTATGCGATGAAAGAAATTTCTTACACCTAGTTTGTTCTGTGAGTTTATAGCTGTTTAAGAATTCCTGTCACCAACATGGGGGGTGACTTAAGTTTTCACAGAACATAAAAAATAACTTGATACAGTGTGACAGAGGAAATACTGGCTCACGAAACTCTCTTCCTTATGCTCAGCCACCCAGCTCTCTTTTTTCTTCCTCCTTTTGCTTTCATGTAAAATAAATTAGCTCTTCTATGAGCCGTAGCACTATTACATTCTATTTTCCTATGGATCTTTCCCTTAGTCCCCTAGATCCTGCCTGCTGCAAAAACTTCATCTTTCCCATGTCCTTGTGACACCAGGATTTGGTAAGAGAGAGCGGAACTGTGACTATCCAGGACCCACATAGGTGCCAGCTGCCCCAGCTGCTGGATGTGGCCGGAGATAACCAGTCATGCACTGACAGAAAGTGCAAACCAAGTGTTTGCCGCCTTTTTCAGTAGGGGTACAACTTAGCTACTGACTTGACCTAGACTATTACTTATTTCTATTCACTTTGCTTCAGTTTTGCTATTCCAGGCTTTGTTTCACTGTGTCCCCTGTTCTTTGACTCCTTTGTTTTGCTGGTGTCATGGTTTAACCCCAGCCAGCAACCAAGTACTGTGCAACTAACTGCTTGTTCACCCCTTGCCCAGAGGGGTGGGGAGGAGAATCAGAAAAAAAGTAAAACTTGTGGGTTGAGCTAAGAACAGTTTAATAATTGAAACAACATAAAATATTATAATAATAATAATAGTAGTGAAAAAGAGAGGGGGAGAGAGAGTAAGATAACTCAAGAGAAACAAAAGATGCACAATACAATTGCCCGCCACCTGCCAGACTTGGCCAACTCCCTCCTCATTTACACACTGAATATGACATTTTATGGCATAGAATGTCCCTTTAGGCAGTTCAGATCAGCTGTCTTGGCTGTGCTCCTTCACAGCTTCTTGTGCACCTGCTTTCTGGCAGAGCACAAGGAACTGAGAATCCTTGACTTTGAATAAGCGCCACTGAGCAACTGCTAAAACATCCATGTGTTATCAGCATTATTCTCTTTAAATCCAAACCATAGCACTGTACCAGCCTCCAGGAAGAAAATTTAGTCTGTCTGCACTGAAACCAGGGCAGCTGGGCTTTGTCATATTTTATGGGCTACTCGAGAGAGATGCTGTTTTTATGTCAGGCTTGGATTCTCATTTCACTATTAGCTTGTCTGTTAGCTTGCTTTAAAAATATAAGTAGTTACCTTTACTGAAAGAGATGGGAATAACTGAAAGTACTAAGATGTTTGGAGGAAAGGAGCTACAAGGATGCCACAAAGAAAGTCCTAGTGAAGTGGAGTTAAGGAAAAATATATTGAGAGGAGGAAACCTGATGGTGATATCTAGAGCATCATCAAGGAATGTTATGAGAGTCGTAGTAGAAACAATGGGCAAAAGACTAGAAAATTAATTTTGGGAGAATCCTAGACTGTTAGGGATATGAACCAGTTATATATGTTGTATCACTGGGTTTAATGATTAAAAACAAAATAAATGAGAGCTAAGGCAGCATTTCTGTCCAAAATCTAAAAGTAATTTGGGCTACATAGTTACAGCAGAAAGGAAGGTGGGAAAAAGTGTGAAAATATAAAAGAAGCAAAAATACATTTTGTTTCACAGTCATATGTTATTAACTCAAGGCAACACTGCTTTTTTGCCTTTCTTTTTTTTTGAATGGCCAAGAATTCCCTGTTATCAGCTACCTTTTTGCTATTGACTATTCCTGTAGTATATACTAACAGGCCTGAGAAGAGAAGTGGCTGCTGACACACTGTAAGTGTATAGCAGTGGCTGTGTTGAGTAATTCCAAAACTCTTTTTAGCCTGGTTGTTGGCTCCCCAGAGTGATCAACAGCACAAGTGCAAGGAAGTGCCACACGTGCAGGGCCAGCAGTCAAGGGCGAAGGACCTGTACATTCCACATGGCTGGTTCCTGTAGTTATTTCTTGTCTCCTTGCAACTCCTGCTGCTTCTCAGCATTGCAATACAGGTCAGGATCCTGCTGCCTACTGGATACCAACTGGAGGAGGGGTTGGGGGGACAGAGCATGGGGGAGAACCAAGCTGAAAAATCTTTAAAAAGACAACTTCTTGCTATCATTGCTCATACAGCTTTCAAATATTGTAGAGAGAAGGGATAAATTAGTTATACACAATCAACAAGGACAGAAGATGGTATTTCTTACACCAAAGGAAACCCAAACATGCTGAAGGTGGCTTTAGACATAAACCTGAAGCTAGCGAGCGCTGGATTTCAGAATTTGTTCCTACCTTCAGGGCTTCGAAAACTTTCGGCGAGTGAAAACGTGCAATGAACATGAAAACAAGATATTAAGAGTTAGATACTAAGTATATACTGAGTATTTTGTAGCAAGACAAATTGTAACAAAGACAACTGTTCATTATTAACTTCTGGCACTATGTATGCACTGAAGTGGCAACATAAACCAGCGTGTAATTGTATTATATCTCACCTGATCATTCCATTATGTACTCTAGAACTACTCTCAAGCTATTCTAGAAAATAAGATTAATGAGAAGCTATCCTGAGGAGGGTTTTTTTGCTGAAACACTGCAACCTTGATATCAGTTTCCTGATACTGCAACCAGTTCTAATTTGTGTTTGTTTTTTTTTTTTTTTCTTTTTTTCTTTCATTGTTGTTTTCATAGGAATTTTGGCTTCTTGGAGAAACTGTAGAAAATGCAAAACGAAATAATAAAGCCTGCTAAATACTTCTCAGAAGTGGAGAAGAGTGTGCTGCTTGCCTTAGTTGAAAAATACAAATACGTGCTTGAATGTAAAAAAAGTGATGCAAGAACTATTGCTCTGAAACAACGCACCTGGCAAGCACTAGCTCATGAATATAATTCACAGCCCAGTGTATCACTGCGAGACTTCAAACAGTTAAAGAAATGCTGGGAAAATATCAAGGCACGGACAAAAAAGATAATGGCACATGAAAGGCGGGAGAAGGTAAAAAGAAGTATTAGCCCACTTATAAATACTCACATCGTAGGGAAAGAGAAGATTGCCGGCATAATGCCTGAGCAAATGTACTTTTTGCAGAGCCCACCAGAAGAAGACTCTGAATATCAGCCTGACGCTTCTAGTCAAGGTATAAATGTTGCTGTAATGATGTGAGTAGTATTGCTTTGTATGTGATTTTGCCAGTGATTCTTTTTCAAATCTCTCCACTTAGCTGTGACTGCTGGATATAGAAAAGTAATTTAGGAGCTATGATATTACAAGGCTCTGTGTATTTCCCTTGGCCTCTGGGAGTTAAACGGGTGTGAGGTTTTTAATAATTTTTTTTCATCTGTTTTTGACATATCTGCTGCTTTGTGGCAAGCATCACAGTTGCTATCCTGCTGGCTTTCCAGAGAACAGTCCCAAGGCTATCTTTATAATTTCTAAAGTATCCTTTTGCTGGTTTAAAAAAAGAAAAAGACAAAGGCCACCAGCAGCAAATTGATACACAATTGCTTGCTGCAACAGTTCCCTGCAGGTCTTTCCTCTTTTGTTTTCAAGGACTAAAAAGAGTACGTAGAGCCAGCCATATTTCACACTGCAGTCCACACTGGAGAATGGCCTTTCTGAAAAAGTTCAGCTCTACATTCTTCTTTGTTTGGCAAGCATTCCCAGAAGGAATAATTCAATACCAGAAGGGAGCGCAGCTACAACAGTTTCTTGCAAATTTTATTATGTCAGGATCTCACACAGAAGATTGTCCTTGCTCAAAAGACAACAGCAGCTACATTGCTAGATAACATTCTTAGAATGTGTCTTTCATAATTGCATTTACCATAATTAATCATTGGGATTTGGATAGGAATGTATTTTGAGACCCTCATTTGCAGTGGTAATTATTCTGTTCCCTGCATAGTCTCCTTTATTTCAAAAGAATTCATAGAGCCTTCTCAAAGTTAGAATAATGGGATTTTTTTCCTAAAAATATACACTACTGTGTTTACAATATCTACAGCAGAAATAAGGAAGAAATAAGAAGCGTTCTTCCTAGTATTTCCTCAGTCTTTTGATATTAATGTTGATACAGCTTCACCTGACACTCCGATCTTTCATAAAAATATCACAAGTCACGTATGGATTTAACTTAAATGGCTGCATTAAGGTTTTGCTCCAGGCTCAGCCACCTAAATCTAGCTGTCCACTTACAGGTGTCTGCATTCACTTTAGTCTTATGAACTCCCACTATAGCCTTGGAGGTCTTTCAACAGAGCCCCAAGTGGTTCTGTTCAGAACATTATGCCCTTAGTATTCTGCAGTAGAACTGCATTATGTAGTGGCTCCTGTGCTTTGCTACTGGAGCACAAGGTTTAGGTGCATGTGTCAGTAACTTATATTACCACATTTCTGTTTCTTGAAGGAGGGGAAGAGAATACTATAATACTTTTTCTTCTTTTGTTTATAGAGTCGTTTGTTGTGTCAAACAGAGAACTTTGTGATGAAGACAAAGAGATGGTACATTTTCCAGTATGTGAAGGTACCTCCCAGCCTGAGCCTTCGTGTTCTGATATCAGAATAGCAGCAGATAAGAACTACAGAAGTAAAGCATCTCAGGAAAGTGCTCTGAAAAAGATGCATGAGGAAGAACATCATCAGCAAATGTCAATTTTGCAACTCCAGTTAATCCAAATGAATGAAGTCCATGTGGCAAAGATACAGCAAATAGAAAGAGAGTGTGAGATGGCTGAAGAAGAGCACAGGATAAAAATGGAAGTGCTAAATAAAAAGAAAATGTATTGGGAGAGAAAACTGCAGACCATTACAAAAGAATGGCCTGTATCATCCTATAACAGACCCTTTCCTAATTCACCTTAGAACACAGAAGGGCAGAGGCAGTCTGATTTAGCACATTTATGAGTAACACGCACTGGAGAGAGGGTTTTCTACTGTGAATGTACAGTGACAGGATAGGTGCCTGGCTGATAGTGAACACACTATGACTCTTAATGTTTAGGGAAACAAGAGGAAAACTCTATTGTTCATTTGTAGGTAGTTCTGATTTGTTTAACTCACAGACATGCAGTGTTCTAAAATGTGAACTTATTTTCCTCTCTCAGAACACCCGTGATCCTTGTCAAATTTAAGGTAGTCTGTGTGTTCTTACATTGGGTGTTCATAAGAAAACTTAACAGCTTTAAACACCAGGCTGTAGTGTTTGTTTTCATTTCTATCTCTTCCTATCTACCATTTCCCAAATAGAGGCAAGGGTTGGAGTTGCTCTCTCCTATTGAGACAAAAGTTAATTGACAGCTATTAGTTGGACCATTATGCTGAGGTTTAGGGATAATAAACTAGTTAATACAGTCCATAACTTACTCTTCATAGAAGATGTGAAAATGAAGGATGTAGCAAGAGGGCCACTGTAGTAACAGCCCTCTCCTTCTGAAGAACAGTAATATTTCCCAGCTGGCTGGCTGACTGAGAGAATGGTTATGGAATGGCCCTCCAGTTGTTTGAGCTCTGACACTTGAGAAGTTAAAAAGAAAGTCACTTTTTCCTCAAAAGCCACTGTGCTTGTTCTGTCATTCCCAGGCCCATCTTGTATTGAAAGAGAATACCCAGCAGAATACCCAAACAGGAGGGTCAAATGCTGCTGCCACTGTGTGCTGCACTGTGTGCTGCTCACCTGAAGTCATTCTGAGGAGAAGAGCTTTTTAAGGATTCATAAAGCTCTCAAAATGCAGTGAGCCAGCCAGTCCATTTGGCAAAGTCTCCCTGTATTTTCCTATGCAATACCTGATGGTGTAGCAGCTATCTTGATTATTTCTCCTTAGCTAGAAGAAAATACTAAGACTCACCCTCTTTTCCTTCTCATAGGGTGGGAAGCAGTTCAAGGGAATCATTCCTGTCTTGAAGCACTGTTCTGTTCTGTTTTGTTCTGTCCTGTGCGTTATGGTGGTGTGTTTCTTGCCTTTGCTGTCAGTGAGGGGTGATGGACATGATTTGAATGAAGGCATTCACATGAAGGTCCCCACAGATTTTGGATGTCCAGAATAGTAGATAGTAGGAAAGCACAAATAAAGATAATCTTTACCCTGGCAATCATTTATTCTAGTGAGGCAAGAGCTAAGAAAATGCAGAACCCCTTAAGGATTCATAAGAACTTCTGGTGTGTGAAAACCTGCTTTACAGGAAGGTGTACAACCATCATTTGAAGTAGTGAGAAAAATGGACAAAACCATACATTTTCGTTGAAAAATCTGGGTATCACATTATTCAATAAAGTATTTTCAGATCATGACTCCTGAGGGCAAGTCCATACTGTGAGCAATGTATTCAAAGCAGAGTATGTTACAAGGCATGCATTCCCAGTTACACTCCTATCTCTTTCCCTGGATATCCTTCCTGGTGGAGCGAGTTCCTTTTGGTTTTGTTTTGGATTGAGTAGGGTTTTTTGTGTGTGTGTGTGTGTTTTGACCTGCTTTCACTGCTGGTGATTCATCTTTGCGAGCACTGCCATTATCAGCCACAGGACTCGCTGTGGTTAACAGTGTGGTACCTGTGCTACTTTCTTAAATGTGCTAAAACCAGCAATCACAATGGGAACTATTTATTACAACTCATTTTATATGACAGAGAAAAACAATATGCTGGGCTGCTGCAAGATAAAAATATAGGGCCTGGGTGAAATCTGAAGACAGATCTTTTTGACTACAAACTCCATGTTCTTATAAATAGGCTGTGTGAAGAAAGTGCAGGAATTCCAAAGAATGATGTTGTTATGGGCACTTTTTCTGCTGAACAAAAACACTTTTGGAAGGTGTAGTAACAGTCGAGGCAAAAGAAAAGTAAACAGAAGTGAGGACCTTATTGTTCTGAGATTGCATTCTGTGGTCTGGAAGATGAGTCAGTTATTTGACTGGTTGTGACAATTGTTCAGGCCATCCAGAAGAAAAGGACAGGAAAGACATTTGTCTTAATCAATTAAGACATTTGTCTTAACCTGCACTCCTTCTAAGTGAAAGTAAAAGGAAGCCAGGTGTTAGAAGGTAATGAGTGGAGACAATTTCAGCACTGTGAAGAGGGCAAGAATAGAGACAATCCAGGTCTAGACAGCCCTGTGAAAATTATGAAATAGTTAGAGAGGATATCACAAAATGTGAGATAAGGATAGCTTCAACTCCTGGAAGTTATACAATTGCTCATGAAGGATGGTTTTATTTTTATATTTAAAAATCCTTTAAAGTAAGTATGTTTTCAAACCATACTAAGTGGAAAATGCCTTGCTTCTTGGTGTATTTTCTTATTCTGAGATGAAAAGTTACAGTCCTTAGGCTGAACAATAGACCCTTTTAATTCAGGTTCTATTTTAAAAAAAGGAGATCATAAGAGAAATATTAGAAAGAGCCAAGATGAAGGTATGAAAGAAAGAATGATCATTACATGCAGAGAGGAAGAATGGGAATGTTACACCTAACATAAATTATACAAGATGGTTTTGTTGTACAGGCTATAGATGGTTCACAGGTGACACAGGCTCTTGCTTTCCTATTTGTAGTTGACCGTTGGTTGCTGTAAAATTGGGTGATAAACACAGAAAAATTTAAAACATCAACAGGAGGAAGTAAGTATCTCCTTGCCAGGCTTTGGCTTTATAAAGTGATCAATGTGATGGAATTGAAATTACTCAAGAAATTATTTTTGCCTTTATTGTTGTTGTTTTTGTTGCAATTACTTCCTCTGGTAGTAGATTTTATCTTTTCTTGTGTTTGACTTTTCTTATATGTAATATAGCCATCTCAGACAATATGTACATTTGTTTCTCTCCCCCTTTTTCTCACAGTATTCAAATACTTTCACATAATTGTGTTTTCCTGTTAACCATTTGGCCAAGGTAGATATGTATATTGTCCAGGTTTTTCCATTGATAGAATAGAGCAGTATTTTAAGAGGAATATTCCCCATTCTTTTCTCAATTTGCTATAAAACTTTTTGTCAAGAATGAACTTAAAAGTTACACAGGACAAAATGATCCCTTCTTAACTCCATACAAAAACGTGTACCAGATATGTAGTGGCTATTGTTCTCAGCCTCTGTATTCTTATGTAGAGAAACAATGGCCTTCTAGACAAGGTGTGGTGAATTCCTTTGTGCTCCCCAAATTAACATGAGCCTAGCTTCAGGTGCTGTTTTACTTGGAGGTAATCTGTTACCTAGTATAAATTTTTTAATCTCTTGATTTTTTTTCCTCCTGCATTTTTTCCTTATGTCTCTGTTCACCCTTAGTTTTTTAACCAGCAGTATGAGCAGGGGGTTTCATTCAGAGATGTGTGTTTTGCTCTTTCCTTCCTCTTGCCCAGACTGCCCATATCACAGCATTTGAACATGAAATGGGTGCTCCTCTACTGTCACCTTCCCTTTCCACTAAAAGCATGGTTAGTTACCTTTTCCACACAGCTGCCAGTACATTCTGGGTTCCTCACGCAGGCTAGGAAACAGAGGATTTTGAAGAGAGGTCAGTATTGAGAAAGGCCTGTATGGAGAAGAGCACTTCTTCCACTCCAGCTCCATGTTATTTGTTGGAAGGACAATCTGTGACCACAAAGTCGTTCACTGGAACCAGAGATAATGCAGGGTGCTGAAGCTGTGGAAGTGATTCTGATTCTTCCTAAATCCCTGGGATTCTGCATAAGTGAGGTTTGAATTTTCCTGGTAAAAAACTTCTTTCTCAGTAGTTGAAAAGTCTCAGTGGAATCCTTTCACAGCTTCTTCAAATGAAAGCTCTTATCGTGACCAACAGCCTATCCTGACATCTATTCTACTTCTTTCGATACCCAGGCTTCTTTATCACCAGAGCAAGGGGACTTGCTGCTTGTCACAGATCCTCTCTCTGAAGCTCCTTCCTGCAATGCAGAGATGTGTTTAGGCAGGGCTGAAAACACAGCCCTCCCCATGCACTCTCAGAGCAACGATCCTTACAGAGCAGGTGCAACCTCGCGTGGCTGAGCTCAGCACTCAGATTTTGAACTATTGCTACTCAGGGTCGCAATTATTCCCATTGCAGCCCTGTGACCAGAGAAAGACAGATGGCTCAGGGCTGCCTTTTTCTGAGCATAAAGTGCAGCTGAGGATGTTGTGCTGAATTTTGTGTAATGAGTGTTCATTTCTGTGTGTTTCCAATACCACATTTTATAGTCTCCCAAGGATTTGTATGATTGCATAGGTGTTTTTCAATGATCTTTTGCAGGTATTTTTTTTTTCTTCTGGCTGTAGTTACAGTGGCTTTTATGTGTCTTTTTTCTTCTTCCCTACTTGCATTATGATGTTCCAGTTTTGTTCTGAATCTCTGTGGTGACAGTCTGTACAGCCACACATTCATGTAGTATCTTTTCAGGTGTATTTCTCATTATGACATTGAAATGATAAACTGCTACACATTTGTATTTTGCTGCTCTGTGGGTAGAGGAATTACATGTAAATCTTAAAATAACATCTAAATGATTTTTTTTCCCAGACAAGTCCCGCACAAGTAGTCCTGATATTTCATATTTTGAGCTAGCTTGCTGTTTTCGAAGTTTGATGCACCTTAGTTGCTTTCATAAGATTTAATGTGGAAACCTCTCTTTCCACATTATTATTTTGTTTCTTCTCAAGACAGATGACTGTATCTTCACACATCGTCACTCTTCCTTGATTTTTTACATTTGATGAAAAGGAAGATGACCATTCTATACTTCTTCTACTCTGCCATCTGTAAGAATAGGATAATATGTTTTCCAGTGAAAGCAAGCAGTGGTCTCTGTTTCTGGTATCACACACTGACTTCTGTACTGATGATCAGCTTAATTCTCTAGTATCTAAATAAGGTGCACATAGAAATGTGAACAGATTGCTGGACCTAAAAGTAGAGCTATAAAATAGAAATGTACTAGCTGTGGCTCTGAAAATTTTACTGTTCTGATGGTGAAGGGATTAGGCATCTGACAACATCATCAGTCATGTTAGTAATAAATTCCAAACTTGCAAAATCAAAACGGGAAAAAAAAAAGGGCTGGTTTTCAGAATGAGGCAAAGTGAAGACAGCTTTTAGCTGTCCCAAGCAGTAACATTGTCACACATGTAAAACAATTCCCCCTCATGGTCT